TACTCTCATTAACAGTCAGTAAACAGTGAAAGTAACAAAAATCAGGTACTGGCAGTAAGCTCAGCATGATGCCCGTGCAGCACATGGTTAGACTGTCGGGAGGGGGGCATGGCGCGCTATAGGAGGGAGAGGGAAGCCCGAACACACACAGCCTGGCCGTGCAGGGAGGGTCACAGAAGTCACCACAGCCCGCAGTACGTGCCCCAAATCCAGCCCGCAGCACACACTGCATAAGGAAAGGACTGCGAGTAAGCGCCACACAAAGTTGGGGGCAGTTTTAATGCATGTAAAATGTGTATTTGCCGTATAAGACGCACCAACTTCCCCCCCCCCCCCCCCCCCCCCCCCAGTTTTGGAGAAGAAAAAGTGCGACTTATACGGCGAAAAATACGGTAGATATAAGTAAAAAAAGATGGAAAAAGAAAATGAAAGTAGACCCATTCCCTCCTATCGTCAGCTAGATTAGGGAGTTCCCAGCATTCCTATATGTGGGTATCAGGGTTTACAAATGACTTGTGTAAGAATAACCTCTTAAAATATGGCTGTAAACTCACATTTAGAAATAATAAAAGAATACATTACAGCTAGGAATAGAAACTCCATAAGGTTTAGTGTTTACATAGTCAAACACAAATTGCTGAAACTCTCTTATTGCATTTTGTTTTTCAGGCTTCATCAGGAAAGTCTATGCTATTCTGTTTCTTCAGATTGGAATCACAGCTGCCATGATAGCCCTGTTTATTTATGTGTAAGTTAGTTTCATTGTATCATTGCTAAGGTTATGCTAATGTTATATATATTACATATATATAGATACATATATAAAGAAAAATATTTTTTTTTAATGTATTTCTGCCAAACATTATGCACAACTTTCTTTTTTTAGGGATCAAATAAAAGAATATTCAAGAGATAATCCTTGGATGTGGATCCTGGCATTGTGAGTTTCATTTTAATTTTGTTTTTTCACTAAAATGAATCAATCAGAAATCAATTCGTTATGTAGAATTTTAAGTTGAGCTGAGAGAAATAGAAATGAACAAAAAAAAAACCCAGTGATGATTTAAATATCTTATCGCCTTTGTAATTAATGAAATAATCAGCGTTGAAGATTTTCCTGAGCTATAATCTTTAATGAACTTTTTTGTTTAAACTCATTTTGCAAACAAACATAATAATAATTTTATTTATTTAGCACTGTAAACTAACATAATGTATGCTCAAATGCTATCATAACATAATGGACATTAACAGGAGAGTTAAAATGACAAACTAATAAAAAAAAAAAAGGGGTAGGTCTTAATGTTTTTATTGAATATAAAAAGTATGTATATTTTGTTAGATGTTGTTGCTAATTGTCAAATGTATTTTCAAACTCTCTTATTCCTTACAGTGTTATGACCTTTGTGATAATTATAGTTCTGGCTTGCTGCCCAGACTTTAGAAGAAAAACTCCCATAAACATGATTCTTCTTATTGCATTTGTAAGTACATTGAAATGAATCTTTGTCAAACTTTTTCAAGTCACTCTTTTTGTCTCATTAAGTGATAGAAAAGAGAAGGGGAAAGAGCTCATCACCGAGTGTGTCTTGACTTTGTATGTAGTGTTTTGTTGTTGTCACTTGATTAGTTTACTAATACAATTATTGGCAAGCTGTAAGTTTAGTGTATATGATTCTAGTTTATCTTATTAAAGATGCGAATCTGTTAAGCGGTCAGTACTACTTTTTTTTTGAAAAGAGAGAAAAACATCATTTAAATTAAGTTTTATGTTCCCCCTTCCAAAAAATATTTTTTTGTTTACACATAGTAGATGTTTTCCTCTATAAATATTTTTATAAAATTTTGTTTTGTGTTTCAGACTGTTTGTGAAGGATTTTTATTGGGCACTGTCTCCAGGTATTTTAATTGTATAAAATTAAGCTATATATATATATATATATATATATATATATATATATATATATATATATATATATATATATATTATAATGTTATGTAGAACTTGAAGGCAAAATAAAAATATATTCTGTTCAACCTTAATAACTTGAATATTAAACTGGTTGCATTCAGAAACTCCATAAAACTGGTGTCAGAAACTGAGAATGTCACTATATGTCCTGTGGTCATCTAGATTTGAAGGACACTAATAAGTAACACTTGACAAAATAGTTTGCTCATGTATGTCCAGTTTGAAAGATGAAGTTTAAGTCTAGCTATAACCATTTAACTCGGTTAGTTCTCATTGGATTTAGCTATAACCATTTAACTCAGTTCTCATTGGATTTAGCTATAACCATTTAACTCAGTTCTCATTGGATTTAGCTATAACCATTTAACTCAGTTCTCATTGGATTTAGCTATAACCATTTAACTCAGTTCTCATTGGATTTAGCTATAACCATTTAACTCAGTTCTCATTGGATTTAGCTATAACCATTTAACTCAGTTCTCATTGGATTCTTTCTCTCCACAGTCATTACGGCAGAGATGAAGTTTTAATGGCCATTGGTATTACTGCAGTAAGTTCAGTCTTGTCCAAATTTATAGACATTTTTGAAAGGTCCTGAGAGAAATGTGGTCAGTGGACTAAAAAAAACAACAATAATTATGATAAAGGAAAATAATTTAAAGTACTTCATGTAATTATAATAAAAATAACTGGAAACCAAAAATGTAATTATTATTATTTATTCAACCCTCAATATAGCATACTTGTTATTAAATTTTATTACAATTTTTTTATTTATTTTGGTTTTCAGGTTGTTTCTTTGGCTTTGACTATTTTTGCATTCCAGACAAAAGTAAGTATAAACACTTTACTTGGATTTAGTATGATATAAGATTGTGGAAAATAACTTTCTTGGCTTTTTTATATCAGTTTAAACAAAATCAATAAGCTTTTTTTTCTGGTTTTAGAGTCTTTTTTATGCATAAATATATATATATATATGAACATATCCAACTTCTAAAATGAAACAATGTTGCTATTACAGTTTTTCTTTATGTTTTATTAAAGATTTCACTCTAAGGAAAGAAATGAATTCTAATCTCTGTTTGTTTTGTTTAGTGGGACTTCACAATGATGGGAGGACTGTTGTTTGTGCTGGTCATTGTGCTCTTCTGTTTTGGATTTTTAGCCATCTTCATACATAATAGAGTAAGTGTATTTGACTTCAACTTTTTTAAAAGCAACATTTGTGTACATTCAAGCAACCCGCTCATACTTTATGGAAATTTGGCTACTATTCAACCAAGCTGGCAACTACAGGAAAAGCTTATCTTTTTGATTTGTGCTTGCATGCAGTGTATAGTTAGTTGATATCTAGTCTTAGAAAAATTCATAAGGTGAATTGGTCTGACCAGATACTGATATCCTACAGTTGTCAAAAATGAAGTATCCATGCTACTGTAAAAAGGTCCCAATTTGGATGATAGGTACATGTAGTCTGCATGCCAGACATTTGCCTTCCCAAATGACTTCTTTATGGGTAGCTGTGTGCAGGTAAGCGCTTCCAGGGGGGTCAATACAAACACTATAATGACACCTTTAAGAGCTTCAAGGAGTGTGATATTGACATTCAGGGCTGGGAAACACTAGCTTTTGATCACTCCTCATTGCATGAAGCTGTGTGTGTCAGAGTCCCGAGATACGAAGCGAGGATTGTGGTCAGCATGAAAGAGCACCAAACCAGCAAAAAGCTGAGAGAAGGAGCAGGTCTATCTGCGTTTGAACAAACCTACCCATGCCATGTATGCAGCCAAATTTTAAAAGCGAAGATTGGACTTTACAGTCATCTTCATGTTCATAGGAAATGAGAAATGTGCTCATCTTAGACCACAAAGGAGGAGCTATTACAATCCACTTGCCCTAAATCTTTTAATTGAGGTGTCTGGATCTGTGTAAAAGTGTGCCTGTAAAAAATGATGTATGCATTCCTTTAGATTTGTGGCTTAGTAAATTCTTAGATGTAGAACTATTTCTGTAGAACTGGTGTAATTGTAGATATTTGTAAATTTATTGTTGTACAGATGCTAATGTCTTATTTTGGTGTCCACAGATCCTGAGTCTAGTGTATGCATCACTTGGGGCTTTGATCTTCTCAGCTGTGAGTATTTCTTTTAATTAAATATTTGAGATTCATTAGTTCCATCTTGGTTGTGAAATCCTCTACCAAGTTGTGTAGATAAGGGAAAATACAATAAAATATTCATTAATTATCTATGGGAATGAAATAGATTAACCCTGCTTATGGAAGTACTTTCTATATTGTACCAAAGTTATTCATTTTGTCTATTTGTACCTCACTTCATGTTGGAATAAAAGTTGAATAAAAATTGTTATATTTTTTTGTTATCAGAAGATATAAAAAAAAGGACATAAAACGAATGTGATTTATAAGCATTAATGATAAGAGCCTTTGTCTGTTGTATTGACCTTTTACAAATAAATAACTTTTGAGCTCAAAATAGCCTCATCCACATTCAATATTTAGAACTAACATAATCAATCTGGTAAGAGCTTTGTTTAAAAATGCTTCATCATGACATGTATTTTTCCCTTTCTTGAAAAGTTTTTCTGTCATTTAATGTTCTCTAGAACTGCAGAACAGTTCATATAACTGAAATGTTAAATGTGTGTTGTTTTGTTTCAGTACTTGGTGTTTGATACTCAGCTGATGTTGGGAGGTAAACACAAGTACTCACTCTCTCCGGAAGAATACATCTTTGCTGCCCTCAACCTATACCTGGACATTGTGAACCTCTTCCTCTTCATTCTGTCAATCATTGGGAGTGCCAAAGACTGACCAACTCAGCCCTGAACTAAAGGAAGCACAGAATCTAATCATTGACTTTTTGTTTTGACTTACAAAGCCAAAAACATGAACTTACATTTAAAATACATTCATTAACCGTATGTAGTTTCATAAGTTGATCCAATGTATAGGATCAACATAACTGTTTTTATTTCATTATAGTAATGAGTTGATTTCTTCACATTTTTTTTTTTTTTTGGTGCATTTTTTTTAAAACTATGAATCCAGTCATAATCTTTACATCTTCAGTTATTAATTGTCCATTGGTATTTGTATTTAAATCAAATTCTTTCTTAAACTGGGGTACTATTGTTTTACTTGCTCATTTTATATATATATATTATCATTTACTAATAAACTTTCTTCTACTCTGACCTTTGAAATCTTTGTAAGATAGTTACATTTCAGAATTTATTAAATTAAAACTTTTTCCTTTGTTGCTTTTTGTAAATTGTGAGCTCATTTTTTTTTCTGTTTAGCTTTATAACAATACTCCACTGCTTTTTTTTTGTATTTTTAGCCAAATAAAAATATCTGTGTGTGTGTTTAGATCAAGATGACTTAAAAGCAAGGTTATTGATTCATTAATAATTAATCATTAGTAATAAGTTGCTCTAATCAAATCATGTAAGATTGTTTTGTGAAATTATTTTTCTCCTGTAGGCTTTGTTAAAGATACTTTATACTAGTGAACCAATAGAATGGTTTAAATATAAAAGGATATTAAACCTTACAGAATTGTTAAAAACAGCAGAAGTTGGATAAGGTTTACATTTTTTTTGGGATCTAACTTAATGCATTTATTAAAATCAAATTAAAAATAACACTTTACGCCACAGAAACAGATGACCTTGACATCATCTCCTCTATAAACGAAATGGGGGAACAACATTGTCACTTATTTTTCCATTGCTGATCCAGTATGGGCAATTAAACTTAGATCCTTTTATACAATTTTTGAACCAATTCTATGCTAATTAATTATTTAATTGCTTAGAAGAACAGTCTTATATATCTAAAAACATAACATTTATTTCACTTTGTATTTATTCTTTATTCTGATTACAGACGGCCTTTTAGCTTATGATGTCCAGTCCATTTTATTAAGAAAAATTCATGTCTAGATATTTTACAGCCAGTGTTGTATAACCCTGTGATATTTTCCAGTTGATAACATTTGGTCCTGTTTCTGCTTGTTCTTGCTGTTGTAACTGTTATGTTAGCTTGTTTTTTTTTTTCTTTTTAATTTTTAGTGCTAGTTTCTAGCAGTTTATTTAACAAAAGTCTCCATCAGCGTGTCACAATTATAGTGTCATTCATTTGTTTGATGTTCATCTTAAGACTTGTCTTCAAAAATCCCTAAAATCAACAGGTAGATTTTATTGAGGGAAAAAGATAACCATATTTATCCTTCTACACATTATTACTGAAAGACCGCTTATAGTATTTATAGTTGTTTGAATTGGACTTGGACTGTCTCAAAAAATGTATTGGGAGTGAAAAATGTCAATGAAAAACATAGATATCAGGTGTATCTTGGCTTTTGAATTTTTTGGTACACTCTTTACATGCTCTGAGCTTACAGTTTTACAATGTCAAATCATTGATGTGAAGTATATTTGATTGGCAGTTTGATATGGGCTAGGTTGTGTCATTTACACCATTTTGTTTTTCTTGAAAAGAAATATTTCCTAAGTTTTGAGTGAATGTGTTACTTATTTTAGTACTATTTGAAGTATTTGAGTGGTTCATTCTTCACTGATTTCATTTCTTGACCAAATGTTCTGTTGTTGTTGTTTGATGTGTTGAGGCAATAACACTGAGTCAATTGACTCATAATTCTCCTTTGAAGAAAACTGTTATTAAGAGAAAAATCAGTTGTTCTTAGCTTAGTTGTCAGTCAAAATTATGGATTGGATTTTTAAAGCATTTCTTTACTTGAAGTATAAGTCATTGCTAGTTTGTATATAGTACACAATATATATATATATATATATATATTAATGTACGGTATGTATACATCTGTAGATTGCTATAATTTCTAAAACAAAATACAGAAAAATATTAACACAACAGTTTAATTATTGTATAGACTTTTCAGAATGCTTTGGCCTAAATTGTGCTGATGTGCCCAAAATGCAAATATCATAGCTATCACTAAAAATACTTTTTTTCCTAAGTAATGATTGCAACTTATCCATCTTGCATTCACCTGTATTATAAATGTGTTTCACATTTTCAAATTTCAAAAAAAAAAATATTCTCAATTATAGGTGGTTGAAAAGATATTTTTTCAAAAATTTTCAGCTGTTTTTTTTTTTACCTATTTTTCTTTTAACTTATTTTAACTTCAGTTGTCTTAAAAGTATGTTTTATTCAAAGTGTAGTAAATAGGATTTTCAATGCAATAAAACCAATGATCTGAAAGATACTTTGTAGAACAAAACCTATTTCAACTGTGAGGGAAAATTATTTATGGACATAAAATTTATCGTATGTGATGATTTTGTATTTGTCATAAAATTTAAATAAAACTTTCTAACTAAAACTTTGTTAGAGACATCTTGTGTGTTACAAATGTCTTATGTTGTTATGTCTGGAGAAACTCAACACTGAAGCTCATGTTCTTGTTTATTCTCATTGCAACAAATAACATTAACACATAACATGCACATCACTGCTAAACATCAACATACCATTAAATAGCCTAACATTGAGATTCCTCTTTGCCACTGTTAGTTCAATTCATTTAAAATAGGCTTATTACAATATTGAGCATATTACAAATATTTGAGATATGCCTGTGTCTCATAATCTAGCACTCCATCACTAAGTTTTACAAGTTAAGGATTATATCCCACAACTGGTTTGTGAACTATTTGTCTAGCCCAACTTCAAGTGCTCTGTCCAACAAAGACAAGATGCATGTAAGTATAAACATACTGACATATTTCTATTATATTAAAAATCTGCTATGAAATGTAACATCCCTATTTCTCTATCCACACCAAAGAATTAAGATGCTTACTTATGTTGGTCAATGTAAAAAGTTGTTGTTTTTTTAAGTCCAACGTTAAGACCGGTTGACAAAGTAAATTTCCCAGTCTTTATTGAACATTGAGGTAAAATTGTATCTGTTGCTAGTGTAAAGTCGACAGCTGTGACTTGTATTGGCCTTATTAAAATTGAACATAGAGCATCCGACAGTATCAATACATTTGATGGAACAGTCTATGAGACTCCTTGAATAGCTATCTTTGACTTCTGGACCAATCAGATACGAATTGACGTAAACAAGCCAAATGTCAGCATCTTCATAGTCTGAGAATAGAAAATGTTAATGTGAACATGTGATGAAATTAAAATGTATACTGTATTATAATTTCATGCTAATATGTACTATTCTTGGTCCAAATAATGTTCCAATCAATGCAGATCTGTTTCTTTAAAGATTCTGCTTATTTTTAAAATAACTTAAGACAATAAACAAATAGTCTAATCTCTTTAACCCAACCACCTCATTGCAGGTAATGGTAATGAGGATCACGATTTTAGATAGAGGTCTATTAGCCTCCAAAATCTTTCAAATGTAAAATTTCTTAACCTTTCTCTCCTAATTACTATCGTTGATTTGACCCCATTTAAATAAAATTAATTTTTGTTTCTATAAAATTGTATTTGTGTTACATAAAAAGGGCATGCATTCTCCTGAAATTCTATACCAAAAGTAACATTTTCTTGACATAGACAGTCTAGAGAATTTTTGACATAGACAGTCTAGAGAATTCTTGACATAATCAGTCTAGAGAATTCTTGACATAGACAGTCTAGAGAATTTTTGACATAGACAGTCTAGAGAATTCTTAACATATCAGTCTAGAGAATTTTTGACATAACCAGTCTAGAGAATTCTTGACATAACCAGTCTAGAGAATTCTTGACATAACCAGTCTAGAGAATTCTTGACATAGACAGTCTAGAGAATTTTTGACATAGACAGTCTAGAGAATTCTTGACATAATCAGTCTAGAGAATTCTTGACATAGACAGTCTAGAGAATTTTTGACATAGACAGTCTAGAGAATTCTTAACATATCAGTCTAGAGAATTCTTGACATAACCAGTCTAGAGAATTCTTGATTATAATCAAAATGTCATGGGTTTAATGTGAAATAACCTTTTTAAAAAACTACAATATACAAATCAAATTACAAATAATTCTTTTTTTTTTCTAATTTAATAACCAAAATGTCTTCAACAAGCACTGACCTCTATTCTTGCAAGTGTCTCCAATTTCACTCCATAAGAAAGTGACATTGTCACACTTGGTCTCATGAAGGTCTGATAGGTCAGTGTAATAAGTGTCATTTACACATTTGTAAAAAGCTACTGTGCTCTGATTGGTCAGTATGATTGAAGAGGAAGGCATATGTGGTGGCATTGCAGGACAATGTAACCCTGAAAAAGAAAGATAAACATGTTAAACATATGTCTAAGATTTTAATATTTGAAGAAATAACTATGGTTTCAACCAAGCTATAAGGTACGAGTTTTATATAATGTCATTAAAAAGATGTTTCTGTTCAATTTTAGGTTTCTTTTAGATAATGACCCCTGGAGATTTCTTTCAAACTAAAACTATTGTGTAAAACTATCAAAGCTGACACTTTTGCCTAGAGTCTTATTTTTTGTTACATTTGCAGGTCCAGTGGCAAGCATTGTAGCTGAATATTTTGACTCTAAAATGAAGCTAATTAATTTTTAGACATAAGTTATCATCTATTTTTAAGATTGCTAAGGAATCTGAAGTTTTCTCAAAACATTATCTTTGTTTCTTGTAATTATAGTTTGTAATTTGACAAAGTTTTTTTAAAATTAAATTTTAGTGGCCCTGTATAAAAAACAGAAATTTAATTTACTCTGACAAGCTGGCTCTATTGGACTCCACTGACCAGTTATCAAACACTGAACTGTTTTGGTGGTGCTGTTGTCTGAAGGGAAGTAACACCCGTCATGACAAGTGTAAGAGATGGCTGAGTTGTATAGAAAGACTGCTGCGCTATCGTTAGGAGAAGCATTATCCACTGAAGGCTGGCCCATGCAAGTCACAGCTAAAAAAAATATATATAATGGAGAAATATATGTAATTAATTTTTTTTTAAAGTGTTTATACACATAGATAGGAAGATAAGAGTGGAAAATGAATGGGTGATAGCTACTTGTTTGTTTTATAAGTTTCAAATGTTCCTTCAGAAATAAAGAGTTACATCATATAGCCCAAACCTGCTGCAGAATGGCAATGGATGCCAGGATTCAAACTCAGGCCTATCGTAATAACAATCTGAACGGCATACCACATGACCAGGTAGCCATGGATTGTGAATAAAACTGGGAAATGTGAAGTCTATGAATATTGACGTTACATCAAGTTTTTGTGACAATAGGAGAATATATTTTTAAAAGACATTTATAGTGTACTGTGTAATTTTTTTTCATTAAGTGTAAAGTACACATGAAATATTCTTTATCAATTGAAATCTTAAATTAAAATCAAATCAATAGCTAAAGGAAATGATATGACAACAGTGAAACACAACTAACGTAGACATTGTAAAGGTGCAGGTGTCCACAGTTTCATATCATCACATGTCATGTTCCACAGTTGAGCTGTTGCATTAAATCTATAGCCTTCCTGGACACAACTATATTGTACAGTTTGACCAAATAATGTTGTCAGATTGTCCTGTGCGATTAATTGTGCATTAGACACAATTGGAAACGTGCCACAACTTTTCTCTGTAAAAAAAAATGAAATAAATTAAGCAAAATTTATACATATATAAAAACAAAATTTGACCAGCTTAAAAAAAAAATAAATTAGGATACACCCTAATTTTGCTGATCATGCATATATTTATCACATTAACAAGTAAATATATAAATGACAATTTTTTTTAAAAAGCAGGTAGAAGGTTAGGGGTAGTTCCATTGTTTAGTAAATAAAGCTAGGCCACCCAATATCGAAATCCTTAAAAAACAAGTTTGTGTATTTTGAAATAAGGTTTCAGCATCATAACAGGAGTCTGCATACTCCTGTTCTTCCACCTAATGCCCTCAGCTATATCCCTGCATCAAAGCTAAAGATTCAAGAAAATGAAACATTTTTATTACATCCTAGCCCAAACCTCAAGCTGACCTTTACATCGTATGCCATATAGATTGCAAGATTTGAAATTTTTTTTTTTTTTAGCCCAAACCTCCAGTCAGATATCACATTCCATATGATCCCACAGCCATTTCCTACTGCCATGATTGCATTTCAACAAACAAAAGGTTCAGTTTTTTTTATATACAACGGAGTATTTCTCAATTAACTGTAAGAGTTTTATTGTCTATGTTATGAATATGAAATAGTTTTATAGTATTCTCAACTTCCTGCTGCACTAAATGTATTTTTTAATTACCATTTAGCTCATTAATTGCTATGTCTAAGTGTTATTAAATTGGAAGGTTTTACAAATTACAATTAAAGTAAAGTAAAATCTAACAATTTTGTTTGTTCAAGAAATAATTTTACCAAAAATTTAAAGAAGTAGCAATGAAGATTATTATAGAAGACACTAAATAATACATATTTTGTTTTGGTAAATGTGAAAAAGTAATTTAGGTGAAAGTTTATCTCTTCTTATTAAAAACTGGAGTACATTTTATAAATTAAATTTAGTTTTTTATTTACTGATGATTATACTTACCAAAGGGGGTAGGCTCATGAATGCAGAAATATTTTTACTTTACCAAAAAATGATTGCAAAACAAACATGTTTTTTAAATACAATCTAGTAAATATGTACTTTTGGTCTGTGATAAAACTTACTTTGACAAGTGATATTGGTTAGGCTAGGAATCCATTTTTCAAAGTTGGAGCAAGTGCTGTTTATTGAAGTCATTGTGCTGTTGATTTCATGGCCAATCAGGCAAGTGTATGTGACCATACTCAGCAATGGAGTGATGCCTGTAGCATTAGCATTCATATTTGCACTAATAGACATTTTGGAGTTGCTGATATTCAGTAAAAGGCAGCTGACATCTGAAGCAAAATACAATCATTGTAGGTGTTCACAAATAAAAACAGATCCATCTATAGAGAAATCATTCATTTCTGTATTATTTCCATTAAATATTTTTAAAACTATAAATGTTTTAGTTACTGACACAAAGATAAAGGATATTTCTTATTTTATATGCTAGGACGAATTAGTAAAAGTTCTCCTTCTTCCCTAGTGCTGAGCATGGGTGCATGAATCAGCCCTGAAAATCATTGACTTTGCAGAGTTGTTTTATACCAACAGGCATGACTACATTAACACAAAGAATGTGTAGGAGACATTTTTCTCCTTTTCTGAAAAAAAATCTGTAATTTATAAGATAACTACTGGTTAACTAATAAAAATGACAATACATTTGTTTTTCTATTAGTTATGATTTAAGATTGTAATGCTAAATAACTAACCCCACAGAACAGAAACACTGGCAGTTTTAGCTGCTATTG